TTTAAAAAAGTAAAAAAACAGCATCAAAAATCCTATTTTTACGATTCGGTTGAAAAGATTTTTAAATATTTGTATGCAGATTTTTTAAGCGTAATCTATTTTGTAATCTGAAGGGCCATTTTGAATTTTGAAAATCTGACATCAGATTCGCAATTGGCAACCCCAGAAACTCACTGGAAACGTGTTTTATCCGTTGACAATGTTTAAAACGTTTAGTATCAACGTTTTAATTTTAGTACTTTTTTTTAATTTGATCGCCATATTGGACCCGCCATTTTGAATTAAAAAAAATTGACTTCAGATTCGAAATCGGCGACCCCAAAAACTCTCGAGTGCCGAGTTTCGAACAGATCCAATCATTTTTAAAAAAAATGGACCGCCATTTTGGATCCGCCATTTTTCGAAAAACTTACTTCAGATTCCTAATTAGTAACCCCAGGAACCCCCTGGTAACAAGTTCCAATCCATGACAATGCGTAAATCGTTTAGTATCAACGTTTTAATTTTACTAGTGTCTTTTCGAGAGCATATTTTCGGCAGCTAGACCCATTCTAATTGTCCAAGACAGGTGTGTAATTAAGGGAAAGTTCCCCAATATTACCAGAGTAATTATATGTAAAAACTACATTTTTAGCTGCACTTTAACATGTCAAGAAAATAAAAAAATTGAGAACATCAGCGTTTTTATAAAAAAACCGTTCAGCGCGACCTCTAAGAAAACTTTTTTTTTCAAAATAAAAAAATACGTGTCTCTTTTTTTTATCACAAATAACAATAATTTGAGGTAGCGTTTATGAATTTCGAAAAACAATTTTTTTGAACCACTCTAATACATACATATGTATAGTAAGTATTTACAGTACAGACTAATTACCTGATAGTCAGTGGCGGATTTAAATATTTGCCGCCCCTAGGCAATTCATAACTTGCCGCCCTTTTTTCACGAAAAAAAAAAAATATATATATATATATCAAATATGATTGTTATTGTCAGTGCTTTATTACAATATAGTTCGTTAATAATGAAATACATAACGGAATTAACAAATTCGACATCAGCATGGATAAGGTATTCAACAAAAACCCTCTTTCAAACACTTCTTTTTCACAGTTCATTACGTCTTGATTTTTCAGCTGCGAATTCGCGGATAATAATAGTGTGGTAACCTTTTAGATGATTCTCGTTCTCGGGGCAGCGTGTCGGCTGTTTCTTTGCGTCACGCGCAGGCGCGCCGTCAGGTTTCTAAGCCGCGTGAATGAAAGTTAAATGGAAATTTCAACGACTGCTATACTAAGGAAAAATTCGCAGCGTAATTCTAATTTTGAATTGTATTGAATGAGATGAATCATTAATAATATTTTACAGACACAAACACAATTTCAAGTGCAGCTGAATCCAAATAAATTTTTTTCTTTTAATTTAGCTGTCTTAAATTTTGCCGCCCCTTAATTCTGCCGCCCTAGGCTTCAGCCTATGTTGCCTGTACGATAAATCCGCCACTGCTGATAGTACTTAATATAAATGTATGAATGTTTACTTCAAGGCTTGAAAGGCTGCCATTGTCAATGATTAAAAAAAGTAAATTTGTTCTTTGAAAAAGATTAACATTTTAACGCTTCATTAAAAAGTTTTCACTTTGTAAAATTTAAAATAACAGGTCACCTTTAATAGAAGTTGAGTCAAATTGGATTATATCTCTGAACTTATGAGTTAAAGTACAACTACACAACAAGCTTTTAGGCTTTCAGCTATACAATTCAGCTATTGCTGAAAACCTGAAAAGCGCGGAACGCCTGAAAGGCTTGTTGCCGAGCGGCGCAGAGCGAAGCAAGGTGGAACAAGGCGAAGCTGCTGGTTGTTCAACCTGAATGAAGGGAAGCGGAGCTTTTCTAATGGACTCGGCTAGAAAAATACCACAAACAATACCTTCGATGAAAAGCGGCAAAAATATTTGCTCAATTTTATTGAAAAGATTACTTGTAAAATTCGTTTTTGTTTGAATATTTTGATATCTGTGTTCGTATGGAAAAGTAGCTTATGTCGAAAGGCTGGCTTTAGTATAAATCGGCATTCGCAGCATACGATTGCGAATGACTCATCGGCGCTGAGCCGTTGAAAAACTTTTGGCATATAAACGTGCAAGAAATAGTTCTGATACTAGCAAGTCAATATTCTTGTTAAGTCTCATCCGAAAATTTCTTGTCGTTTAAAGAATAAAGGGCATACCGTATTATACTAAAGCCAGCCTTTCGACATAAGCTACTTTTCCAAACGAACACAGATATATTGTTTGCAGTAGCGTCATGAAGCTGAAAAATTAAATAGAAAATTAAAAATCAAAAAATGATTTGCTTTCAGTTCCAAATTGTTTCTGAAAAAGCCTGCTGTATACAAACTTTCATATAGCTACAGTAATTTGAAAGCTTCACTCAGCTCG